TCTTGTAATATTCTGCCACGTTGGGAGTACTGACTTCGTGGTTCTATCATTGTAGATCCCCCTTCGGGGGATCGTACATCCCCTGGTCAGGGGATCGTAGATCCCTCGGAATCGAAGGGGTAGGGTAGGGTACCGGAGGAGGGGAGGGGAGGGGTGCTTGTCAATTCGATTGGCAGGCTAAAATAATATTAGGACATTGTTGTTCATATCGCGATTCTAGCTTTTTACAAATCTGTATCGACTATAGTTCGAGATACTCAATTTCTTGTTTCTATTTACCGTGTTGTATAAAGTGTAGAAAATGTTATTGCAAATTCATAGGCCGAATTCAGATACATATTTTCACTTTTAGGCACAACTTGATCCCTTCAAAAATGCTAAATCATTCATAAGAAACCTTTTTTTTCACTTGCCTTTATTTCAGTACCGATTAATGCGAAATACCAGATCGTCATGTATAAAACATCTTCTGAAAACTTTTCTTGGAGTGATCGGTACATTTTTTTGTCAAGTACGGATTACACAAGTATATTTTTGCCCTTGTATTTAAAGAATATTATAAGTTCCAAAATCCAAACTCAGTCAAATCTGTGGTCCAATATATTGATATTGATTGATGCTACGTTTTCTGCTTCAATCTAATAATTGGAGTGACATTTACAGTCCGCTTAACATATTATTGGTTTTCTCAGCTTATTATCAGCTCTAGTCTAAACTGTTATGTTTCGAGACAAAGATGGCATAGATGGCGAAAGCATCAGATCAAAACATGTCTACAAACGCAGTGACCATTCCAGCTTCTGTGAACAAATACGACGGGTTGTCCCCTGTTCCCACGTTGTTCATAATTGCATCCCCGATACCAGATATAATTTTTGTGCACCCTTGCTTGATACCAAAAAATACACCGTAACACGTATAGAACCGCACGGGGAGTGTGGATTGATCGAATACGTATATATCACCTTTGACGAGTTGTGTCAATTTGTACCGCAACCGCGATGTGTGCAAAAATATGACCTCAGGCAAATATAAAACTCAAACTACGTACGCAAGTACTCCGGCCTACCCGTAAACGGCAATCGCTCGATACTTCAACTGATGATAACTAATAATAAAAATGAAAACATGTACGCTTCGAATTTCGCTACTTAATATAATGACTGAAATATTCATTGCCCGGCGTTTGAAGTACATTCAAGTAGCAATGAATACATGTAAAGTTAGCCACCTACACTCGTAGTTGTCGGACACAACTATGCAAACGTTGTTCGTATAATTGAACCCAACTTTTTATACAGCGATTGAATTTCAGCTTCAAGGGCTATATACTATTCGGTTGCCGGATTACATATTTGTCAAAAGTTAAATAGCACCACACATATGTCAAGGTTCTTAAACCTCAAATGTGACGTGCAGGCAAGAAGTAAAGATGTAGAGTGTACGATTGATTAATAAGCTACGACCAAAAATAAACAGTAGACTCTTCTCAAGTGTAAATATGTTTGTTAGGTATATTTGTGGATGTAGAGAATAGAATGAAGTCTGTTTCTTTGCGGTTTATGTTCACTAGGTTCTACTGGTTATTATTTTTCACCTAGTGTAGGAGTCAGCAACTCTTAATCGGTAAAAATTCGGGATTCGCGGGGAATCCGAATTTTGGATTGTTTTTGGGTCTGGAGCCATTCTCGAAATTTCGGTGCACAATGATGAAAAATCATGGCCAATGAATTTTGAAGAGTCATCACCACATTACCCTTGCGAAACGACTAAACGTAGAACTAATGAGAAATCGCGAATAGATTAGAGCTTAAAGTTCGTAGACATTACGTAGACATTTAGGCTTAGTTGTATACTTTATACCGCTACGGGTCTGTCGGAAATTGTATAAATAGGGTAGTATAGTAGCTTGCAATCCTCAAACTTCAATACAGAGGATTAGGAATGAGTAGAGGAGGATTGCCAAGGCTACGATCAAATCGGGACCAGGACAGGAAATTAGGGTCAGGGATCCTATTTGATAGCTCAAATATCAAAAATTTCGGTTCGGGGGATAGAGATGATACAAATAATATTTTTTAAAGTTTTATGCCTGAACAGGGATAATATCATTTATTTCAGAGGAAATACTCTAAATGTACGTGGCCTACATGGGAAGGCCTGTAAATGTACATACAGATTTACGGATACATTTTCTAATTACCCAATCAAATTCTCTAAATACGAGTTTCAATTCTTTTCTCAAAAATATTTTATTGAAATATTGGCTTTTTTGTTTTTTGAAATGTGCCTGTAGGGCACTTAAATTTGAAAACGAAGAAAAGGAAAAGGAAGCCGTCAGACCGAGGGGGTCTGTGGGTAGGCTTATGATTGTCAGGGTTCTGATACATAATCAATATTAAAAATGTTTATATTTATACACACACACACCCGTTAGGTGTACCACTTGCACTTGCTAATCTTCTGTACTTTTATGCATGTTCTTGTTCGTTTGAGACTAGAGTATAGTACACACAAACGAGACTAACACAATCGTGAAGACCCTTTTAATCTAGTGATATCATTTTTTTCTAACAATGTCAAATTCAGAAAATCGCATTCAATTGATGCATCAATCAATGTTTGCAGAGTTCAACACACGCTATTTTTAGCTATATTATGCTTAGTTTAGTGTGCAAGAATATGACTGCGTCTTCGTCTTCGCGTACAGTGGGCGGCAAGATAAAAGGCTTGAATAAAGATGGAACGATGCGTGAGAAGGGTTCGGGGGGTGCCAACAACACAGGAAAGGGCAAGCATCAATTGGATGCAAAGAAGAAAAGTAAAAGCCAGTTGAAAGTAAGTGATATGCTAGATCATCACCCTGATAGTATAACACAAAATAACGTGGATGGTGGTGTAAATATGGTGTCGTGAGCGGTACCGAAAACGCTGATACGGTAGCAGAAGAGGGCAAAGCGGACGATGTTGAAGCTCACTACCCACAGCAGTCCTTGCTAAGTATAGCAACGCCAGTTGCACCCGAAGTTGCAGAAGTGAATGAGCCCAAAATTTCAGCAGACAGCACTTTGCACACGGACTGCAATATGGACATAGGCACTGACGGAATCGGCGCTGGCGGTGTTAATAATGATAATGAAGATATATACTAATGTAAGAATATAACAAACTGCAGGCACCGCAAATAATGGGCGTTTACAGCTAGTAGCAGACGATGACGACGTAAACTTGGATGATGATTAAATTGACGACGATGAAGCTATGCCGTGGTGGACTGAAGGTGGGAAAGGTGTGAAGGGTGTCGTCTATGAACAGCTGAATCAAATGCAAGCAGAAATAATCGCAGGGCGACAAGTAAAACCACCAGTTGAACTTGCGAAGGAAGTTTTGAAGTGTGGCAGGATTCGTGCCTCAGATTGTCCGGTTAGGAAACTAGAGAGTGATCCACGACCCGCATAGCGCCTGCTAGATTACTTTTACTTTGTGGACGTGTTCTATTTCGATACGAAAAGTACATTTCCCACAATAAAAGTACACTGTCCTAATTGTAATGGTACGAACATAATACACCACAGACATCCAACTCATCCTGTTGCACGACGTATAGTGGCTCGCGATCGATGCTGGTTTCTGATGTCATAACGGTTTATATGTGGCAATATGAGTTGTAAGCAGATAAAACCCAGACGTTGTTTCCAAATTACCAGAATACGTACAACAGGAGCTGCCGTGTCTGTTGACACACAGATCTGATATCGATATCGATCTCTTGCATGATCTACAGAACGAATTCAGTGACGGAGCACGAGTGAAAGCAATGACTAGACGGGTATGTGCGGCACATCAGCGAAGGTACGACGCCCGTTGGTTTTCATGGTTACAAGCGAGAAAACGTGCAGGCGCACTACTTAACTATGCTGGCTTAGCGAAAAGCTTCTCCTCATTTGAAGATCCAGTGGGATACGCGGGCCACTATTTCTATGCGCCATACCTAATGTCCGTTCTATTTCTACTCTTCCAGAGACAGAAACCGTACAAAGATATCAGAAATCAGCAATAAACGGGAACTGTATATCATGCGGATTATTCACACAAACTCACTAACTTAGTGCGCGATCATCTCAAGACCAAATATTTTATGGGCATTCATCTGACGACTAACGACTACGAACAAGCAGTAAGTTGTCAGTTTGTAGTGTCAAAGACACACGCTGAATTGAGAGCTATATTACAGCCTCTGAATAGGCGACAACTCTACATGGGTTCATAAGTGAGGAACATATATACACGGAATGCTTTCCGAGCCTTAGTGATAATCTATCAGCACCAAGGATCGACAACGACAACTCGACGACTACTTTACCAGTTGCGAAGGTACCTGATAACATGACGGTACTTGTGGCTACAAGCGTGCAACAGCCACGTAATTATACTCAAATGTTGTGGAACGTGCATGTTACAACACCAGCTGCAAATCCAATGTTCGGAGTATTCGCATTGGACACTAAATGGGAAGTTGACCGATACTACCAGAAGACAGACAAAGCCGATATAATACAAATTATAAGATTCGGTCTCTGCGATATTAACGCCTTAGAATAAGTAAACGCGTAGGTAAAATCTAAATATCGTGATAATTTCAAGGTAAATAACCGAAATGAGTCTTTTAGTAAAGTTAGGGATGCCTCGTGAAAACAGCAATACTCTGAGGGATTGTGAGGCTGAGACATTGCCTATATATAATCCTCTCAGTACTGTTTTCGCCGAAGGGATTTTATTTAGTGTTTCGTTGTCGCTCTATTAGAAACTGTTGTATGTTTCGTTGGGGCGAATCCGAGAGACTCATAAAATCTTATCTTTAAAAAAAATAGTAAAAAGGAAAAGAAAATACTCTTGATGACTTTTGTTATTATCTTAACCAATAACTTTCCACTTATCAAGAATTGCCGACTTAGCCTTCGTCAGACTGGTACATCTGGTTGGCTGATCGGAGGATAAACTAGGTAACGTTATTCCTATATTCGGTTGAGCCATCTCGCTACCGAAGTATTCAGATATAAATAATTTTGGAAAGTAAATGTAGTTCTATTAATAGAACTAGACCAACTCTTATGTTTGGTATTTTACTGGGGCCTTTCAATGGCCTTGTCCAAATATCTGATATGTAAAATGGAAAAGGTATTAATTAATAAAACCATTAAAAACCATTTAGGAAACTTAAGTTCCTTGTACTATTAAGAGTACGTTTTTAGTATACGTACTGCTT